TGAATTAATAGTATAATGAGCTGCATAGCTAATATATTAAGCTCATTAGTGTTAATATATTAAGCTGATTAGTTTAAATAATGTGTTATTTACCTTCAGATTATCAATAGCCATAATAATTTTGATGAATAAGCAATTATTCATATATGATGTATGATTTCCTTATTTTGCAAGAAAAACTTTGCTTTATACGTTAAATAACATCAATAATTATTTTATTTATTTCTCTATCAAGGTAGAACAAGTATGACAATTATTTAAAAATATTATTTTGAGTTTTTATTAAATTTATGTATTATTCTATTTTGAGGACAAAAGAAATGGTTTACTATGCTTCATAGTACATAAGAACCATTTTCAAATATTAGAAATACATAGGTAGGCTATACATTTACTTACAAACGTGCCTTTTATGTAAAACATATTTTAAATTCATCTGAGAGGATTTCAATTCCATAAGTATACCTAGTTCTGCCATAAATTCTGTTACAAAAGTTGAGAATTGATTACATCCTTGGATATTATTTAGATAATCCTTACCTCTATCAGGTTATTTTCTTTACGTGTCAGGATAATAATCCCAATTAGATTGAATTTTTCTTTCGCTCAGTTAACATGGAGTGGAGTGATAAAGAAAACCGAACAGCTGTGACTGCCTTACACAAAGTTGCAAAATATAGGTCAGAGATTTTCAATACTTTGAAACCTTTGGGTATCAGCTCTATGTTCATGTACCACTTAATAAATAGATATAATGAGACCCTTGATTGATGACTGACCACGGAGATTAAAAGCCTGTGTCAAAGCAAAAGGGAGACATTGAGTAATTTCTTGTTTTTTACTTTCCTACCTATACTAGGTGAGGAAAGTATTGAAATCGAGTCAAATTTCGGATATGCGGTTTTCAATGGATGTATACATTTCTGGGCCCCTAAGTCTGAAAAAAACATTTTTAGCCATTGGTCTGTCTGTCTGTGCCAAGATTTTCTCGGGAACTACTGAATCGATTTTGATGTTTCTTTTTTTAATTTGTAGGGTTTTGATTACTGATGCCTGTGACAGAAATGCGGTGCTCCATGTGCAATAAATCAAAAACATGTTTTTCTATAGACTGTAGCGCGAAAACGGCTTTAACGATTTTGATGAAACTTTCCTATAATGTTCTAATAATTTTCCTTTCAATTTTCATATATGGACTAAATTTCCAAGAAAATTCAGGAAAGAAAGTTATAAAGAAAAGAAAAATGTTATGGGGCCTAACTCCCTAAGTATATATTATAGGGTAAAATATATAATAAAACTTTTGAAAGATAATTAAATTACCAACAAAACAAAAGAAAAATCATCAGTATTAGCGATAATATGGCTTATTCTATTTTTTACACATGTTTTAACTTATTACTTTCCCACCTATGCTAGGTAAGGAAAGTATTGCAATCGGGTATAATTTCGGATATGCGGATTTCGACGGATGTATATGTTTCAGAGTCCCCTTTAGCCTGTTTTTTTTAAAGGTAATGAAATTCCCTATGTTAAGGCCACTCATTAATATTCATAATTAAGTGCGTCAAATAGCAAACATCAGTGGTGCCATCTATTGGTCTTCAGAAGAGCGCCATCTATTGGTATACAGGAGTACTAGCCCTACCTGGTGACCTGAGACCAGAAGGGCCAAAGTACAAGACCAGTGCCAGTCTGAGATTGCCTGCAAAATGGTCTCCATGGCCAAGCATGTTCATATAAGGTCTCAATTACTAGCTAGACCAGCAGAAGGAAGAGGCAGTTAATGTTGTACTATGTGCAGCATGGATGCCAGCACATAGTACAACATTAAGAGAATATGCCAGACCACAATACTCACCCAGATGTATCCTCAGAATCATGTCTCTCAATGGAGAATTCAACATCATCATCAACCAGCCAGCATCTTCATTTATCTGATCCGCCCATATTCACCAATATTTCACTAACACAATAATCCAAATGTACATCTTATACCCCATCAACCTCTGTTTATTTCAATCTATTCTTTTATCAATATATTTTATGTTAAACCTCATTTTCTCATTTCACATTCCGCATGAACACCCCCTTCTGACCAAGTAATTAGCATCCAAATTTGATTCCCCCTACTTCGGGATTAAGGAAGGCTTGATGCCCCAAACACCCTACAAAACTATATAAAAATCGTTTATTTTGGACAACTATTAATGAAGTTACAGCTATTCAATTTCCAATGTACCATTACGGGTTCATATCCTGGTGTCAGAAAGGAGTGAATGAGAGAAAAAAGGCGACTAAGTGAAAGTAAGAAAATCTGTTGCCCGCATCACACAATCTTCACTATTTTCTCTACTTTTAACAGAAATTATTGTTTGACAATACTAAGCTATGGCAAAAGGTTTTTGATCATCAATATTAGACAGTATTGACATTTTTACACTGATCTGCCTTAAGCTGGTTTACATTGCTTTAGTTTATCAAATAAATCGTACTCAAATATTTTATTTGATCAATTTTCAGGAAAATAAATCTAGTTCAATTTTTTTTATTTCTTCATGAACATATATAAAGATATAAAAACTATTCTGAAATAGGTAGGAAAGTCGTGTGAGTGGACACACCAGATGTTTTACTCTCTATAGATATATATTTTATTTTCTAATAATTATTTTGAAAAAAATAATTTTTCTGTTGAAATCTGTATATATTTCCTCATAATAATATTTATGACAGGACTAGGTAGTATGTAACAGAGTTAAAAATATAATTTTAACATTTTCTGGGGGCAAGAAAGCTCAGTGAGTAATACACTCTGCTCCGGGCCCCAGGTTTGAGTCCAGCAGTAGCCAGTAATTATTTATTCAGTACCAGCTGTGGATTGAGCCTGGGGATGAAATACTCTACCTTTTTTTCTGTTAAAACTACACTGTTATTTAGTATTAACCAAACGGATTAGCCAGAAATCAGGAAAAAAAAACTCCAAAAATTTCACCTCGCCCGCCACAATATTGAAATCAAGTTCTAATCCTACACGAATGTAAGTGACTCAATGTCCAATGTTATTTTGTCAGCGATAAACTCAGCAGTGTTTAAAGAAGTGGAGAGATTACAACTCTTTTGATTAATTAATTGACTCCACAATCTTCTCGCTTCATCATAAATAAAAATTAAACACAATAAATTTTAATGGATCGGTGGTGGTCGGTTTAGCTGTGTGGTAACTAAACAAATAGCCGAATAACAAAGTTTTTGTTATGACTATTGCGAAGCCTTGACTTCCATAAGCCCCGCCATAAAAAAATTCAGAACAACCCCCCTTCCTCCTCCGACCCAATTTTATGAAATTGAATATGGACCCTCCTCCCCCATAATATAAAATCCATCTCAAAAAAAGATTCTCAAATTTTAACTATACACCCGTCAACGATGGTACATCAGCTAGTGGCTAATAAAATGAAAAAATTAACTAAAATGAGTAAAAATACAAAATATTATTCATTAAGAAGATGGTAAATAGTGGAGGTCATAAAATACAAAAATAGTAACAAACTATGTCCAGGTTAGCAATTCATTAAGTATTTTTTTTCTTGTGGGATATCCCTGGAAAATAACTATTTTTAATATTTGGGTATTTTCTTTAATATTTTGAACCCACCCACAATTTTTCATAAGGCAATTAATTGTTTTTAATAAATATGTTACACTGTCTATAATTTTTTTATTTCACTTATCTATATTAAAAATATATAGTTAACAAAAGTATTGCAATCCTAAAAATTTTCGAATCTCAGTTTTCAATGGCAATGCACGTTTTGAGTCTAAATAACCAAGTCCCACAAAATGGTCTGTCTTCGTGTATGTCCGTGTGTTAACAGTGTAGCACAAAAACAAAAAGTCGTGTGAAATTGGATATTTAATGTTTATATATATGCCAGGGATGTTACAGAAACTTTTTGGTCAAAATCAGCTAACCGGAAATGGCACTTTATATCATCGATTTAACACATTTTACAGTTTTCTCAAAACCGGCAGTAACAATTTTGATTGAATTCATTATATCAGTGTAAAATTAAGCAGTTTTAAATATAATGTAGGTTTTATTCACATTAATGTTCTCTAAGAGGGCTTAAATGGCTAATTTTCAATATTAGCTTCCTGTAAAGTACCATTAATTTTTTTTTAATTTGAAATAATTAATCATTTCACATTAATTTCTGATATAAATGGTTGAATACAAAACATGAAATAATTTGATAATTAACTAAAGAAGAAATAAGAGATCATAAAGGATAATAGCTGTAACGGAGGAACCAAAGGAATAGGAAAGGACCCGAGCTTACCCGAAAGATTAGAATAGGCTTCCAAACATAACATGAGCTTAATATAATATAGATTCTGACAATAATATGTACATATACACATGCGGTTTTCATAAATGCTATCATTGGTATTATTTAATATTTAATTGTATAGATTACAGCAATATAAAAATTAAAATTTATACATATAAGAGTACTTAAACAAATAAAAATATCCACAATGAAATATAAATAAATATATAATGATATAGAGATGGTTGACCGTGATATAAGGGCTTAACAATTAAAATACTTTTGATATTCAAATATTTTGAAAATTTAGTATTTATTTGACCGCAACCCCCGACCAACTCATAAATAAATGAAACTTCTCATAAATAAATTTAGCATCTATAATTTTTGCTTTCACTTCCCCTTTGTCTGAAAATACTTGTTTCTGCTAAGTAGAAGGTGGTAAGTAAAAGTCGCATGATGTGCGCACCAGATTTTTTACATTTACTTTCCTACATATGAAAATACCTATTGTTATTCAATATAGAGTGGTAAGTGGAAGTTGTATGATGGATACACTGTACCAGATTTTTTTTTTCAATTCAAAGAGTGATTAGTAACTTTTAAAAAGAAAAATTAATAAAAAAAATAACTCACTGGTCAATCTGATAAGATAAAAACAGAATTAATTACAATAAGAGAAATGAATATTTTATTTATGGCAATACAGTAACTATTTACACAAATAAAAGACAAAAATTTTAAAGCCGCCTTTGTTTTCTTGGCCTCGGTGGATTCCATGATACAGGAGTATTGTCAGTAACAGATATTATGTCTAAACCTGCCATTTGCAAGCCCTTCAACGCTGACTGAAAATAGTAGCAAAAACAGTGTTATGAAAAAGTAAGAAGTTATTTTGTTAAAACAGAATAACCTTTATAAGAATAACTCACCATTCGACCCGGCCCAAGTCCGCTAAGCCTCACCCTTAGCATGGAATATCCTTTATTCAGAGCGTTCTGCACAGAAGCAATACAAATTATAAACAAATAAGAGGTATTTTATTCCTAATTTAAATTAAGATAGTCTGTTTACAAGATACAAGGCGTGGTTATTAGGCATCAAGACTGATCCTATAAAAAAGACTATTTTGAATTCATAAATATTTACTCATCACTTTCAATTTACATCCCTCCCCTGCAATGCTCCATGTGTATCTTTCTGCACTGTTTCAGAACGACGGAAGATTCCCATGGAGCATTGTAAAGATTTGAGAAGGAGTTTATATGGAAGGTGTTAATAACTAAATACATATGGAATCAAATTAAAATATTTTACAGTATCAGTTTGGAAAGAGAAGAAAATAAAAAAATTTCAATGTGGTAAGTTTAAAATATGTTATTTATGCAAACATGCATTATAACAGTTGTGTATTATAAATAACTGCATATATATATATATATATATATATATATATATATATATTGTAATGTACACCTTTATTGAAAGAGAGTAAAAAGGTTTTAATAAATTAATGTTGAACAATTAAAAGACAATCTAATCTAGTTCTACCAGTGCAGGGAAAAGAAAATGGCTGCTCTGTTTCCCAAGAAGGAAAATCCCAAAGAGGAGAGTGACAAAGGTATTTGTTTTGGCAAGCAGTTCTGTGACTGTAGCGAAGAGAGGATAGGAGAAGTGATCCTAGCTCCACAGGCGGATCTACGGGGAGAGGGAGGAGGGTTTTCGGGCTGAAGCCCCCCCCAAAATGGTAAAATATAACCATGTTTTAAAGAAAAAAATATTAAAAACTATATCTTAAACTATTATTGTTTGTTTAATTACATTTAATAAGTCTTCAAGAATAACAAAAACACAATGTCATATGGGTAGTTAATTTCTTTCTTTTATTTTTTTTTCAAATTAATTATCGTTATGTATATGAAAAAAAATCCTTCGGGCTGAAGCTCCCCCCCCCCCCAAAATTAAATCCTGGATCCGCTAGTGCCTGGCTCCAGTTGGTAAAACCCAGTAATTGTATTACCATTTTGGAAGATGTGTTTGGCAGAACTTAGGAAAACGCTTGAGGACAAATGAATTTAGTGCAAAAAAGGAAGGAACAGAGTATATAGAAAAAAGGTTAGTTTGTCAATCCATATTTGACTTTATTTTAAAATCAAACAATGTTTAGTATAAATAATAATAGTTTGCCTGAGTTGATCTGATTGTCAATAACCCTTAGATAAATAAATATATTATTACTCTTATAATTTTGTTTATTATTACACATCTTATTTATTTAGGAAGTATCCCAATGGTAAGAAGTGAGCTTCCGAGGTTATATTATTATTATTTGTAAAATATAAGAGGAATGTTACAATATAAGTTTTTTTGTTTCACTCAATCTATTCTAAATAAATAACTATTTTAAATTGTAAAAATATTAGATAATAAAAAAAGTTTTATGTATTATTGCAATTTACTTTTACTTTTTAATAAAATTTTATTAAATGAAGAATTATTCTTATGAGCTGGTCCTATAAATCTGAGCTGAAATTTTAGATGTATCTCAAACATGGCTGATACTGATCTAGTTCTATATTTAACGATATGATTGGTTTTGCCACAGACCTGGGCGATCTGATTCATTCACTACGTTTTACTTAATGTATAAGAACTATCATACATTAAGGACCTTAATATTAAAATGACAAAATATAGACATCTTAAACATAAAATTATAAGGCAATTAAAATTCCTTTTTCATTATCCAGTGTTTTATTAAATTGTATTATTTTGAGAAAGAAAGTAATGAATCAAATTCCCCCATCACACATAGCAGAAATACATGTGCGTTGGGCCATCCTGAGAATAAGAAATTCCACCAGGGGGAAATTCAGGATTTGTGGAAAAATTGAGTAGACTGCACTGCCGGGACACTTTCCAGCTGATTTTGGCACCTCTGATCCACTCTGGTTTTAGATAATATTGATAAGAGTGTTTTAGAGTTGGAAAAGTAATTTTTCATTACTTGATATAATAATTTTTAATAAAAAAAGAACATATATAGGAGATGAAGAGATAAATTATGTTTCAACGAGGATGAGGATTTCCATATAGAGGATGATAGGAAATTCCAAAACAAGGTAGCACGTATGACAAAGGAATTTTTAAAGGATATAGTACTATGAAAAGGAATAAACAGGTTTGAGGACTGGGATCTCATGTTGAACGAATGGACAGAGAAACAAGGAGTAAAAAAATCGAGAAGGTAAGAGGGTTTTTGGTTGAAAAGGTTCTAAAAAGGACCACACCTAGGAAGTATTGCCATCAGAAGACTGGATAGGCATTCCAACACGAGACGTGGGAGTGACTGGGGACTCCAAAAATATGTAATATTTTTAATGATGTAGAGATGGTTGACCGTGATATAATATGAGGAGTTGATCGGGGAGTGTGTTCAAATAAATACTTAATTATAGAAATAGTATTATTTAATTATTACTATTATGGGAGGCAGTTGAAACACACAGCCAGTGTTTCAACTGCCTCCCACAGTGCCACATCCCACGCCCTGATGAAGACCTACAAGGTGGGTCGAAACGTCGGCATTAAATAATACTATTTCTATAATTTAGTATTTATTTGACTGCACCCCCCGATCAACTCCTTCTCATGTAATATTTTTCTAGCAATTTAAGTTTATATTTCTAATTGTATATTAATTTTTTTCTGATTACTTTGTTTACATGTTTTATTGTCTAAGAACTAAGACGTTTTTCTTTGTAACTTCCTCAAATAGATTTGTCGACATTTAAAACTTTGCTGTTCATCATTATGACCCATTTATCTTTTCTAGAAATTATTAAAATATTTCTCCACTATTAGTTAAATTGACTAGTCACCATTTTATATTCTAGAATATCCAACATAGATATTCTCTGTTATAATTATTAATCAGAATGTCTTATGCCATCAATTTTATTTAACTATAAGTAATTATGTTGGACTACTTATAGCTAAATCATTATTCAATACTTTGCATAAAAAATTGTTTTTATTTATTGTAAATTACAGTTTTATGGAGGCAACTGGTGTTCATGTGGTAAAATCATGACTCAGTGCACCTTTAACTTCAAATTAGCTAGTATGCGATACCTGCTTGTAAAATAACATTGTTTAGAATTCATGCTACCAATAGTGCAGTTACTACTAGTTAATAGTCTTACTAGTTCAGGGTTTAGATTTAACAAGGCGATTATGCACATTACCTAACATGCACATCTCCACATTAACTAACATAAAATAAACTATGCAAATATTGAAACTTCTTAATCATTCCCAAATCTGACCCTTGTATCCAAAGGATTAGCTAAGATAATAAAATATGATTTATCAAAAGTGTTTTGTTTTGCAAAAAAGAGTTTAGCTTATATCCAATAAAATGGTTATTTTGTAGGAAAAAAGAGTTTATTTTATTGTCAAACACTGGGAATAGGATGAGAGACAACGAAATAAGTGATAAAAATTGTTTTTGTTATAATTAATATTATCGAAGGAAGTTAGTCAACTGTTCTACATATCATGGGTGATAAATATTCAGGACGCAGTCATTAAAAGTTTTTATTAGTGCCGATGTTTCAACCCAAACATGTGGGTCATCATCAGGGCGTATTTCGAGTACTGAAGATATTCAAGTCTATTTTTATTACTTGAATACCTTCAGTGCCCGAAAAAAACCCTGATGATGACCCACATTATTGGGTTGAAACGTCGGCACTAATAAAAACTTTATAATGGCTGCGTCCTGAATATTTATCATCCATGAGTTAATATTATCTTTGCTTATTCTACTGAAAAACATCAGGGGTAAACTGAACTTAGGCTGAGAATCATTGAAAATGATACAATTAAGTTTTTAGGGTTGCATATCAAATATTGGTGCAACAAATAACCATGCCAATATGAAATGTAATGAAAATTCAAAAAATGATTGTATTAATTTAAAATTAATAGCAAGTTTCAAAACTGATACTATTGGAAATCTATTAGACCATTCCTAAACTCATTGATGGAATTCTGCACATCATTTTATTTATCAAATGAATCGCGGATGGCTTAACAGTTCCATTGACATTTGGAGTTGAGGAATCCAGTGGATGTAACCTCAGAGATACAATTTTTCAATTTACTTTACTTATTTTATATTTATATTCATTTCGGTTTTGAAAATCATTTGGTAGATATTTCGTTTTTATTTTATTTTATTTTTTTATGGTTTGTAACTTTCAAATGGAATTGAGCAGGTTATTCCACAACTAAGAATAAATCACTGCTGGATTCAATTAAATTATGGATTCGTTCAGTGGGATTAACGCTGAGTTAAGACACTTGCCTATTAAAACTTATTAAGATCTCTGGTTTAATTACAAATCAAAGTGAAATGTATCAAGAATTAATAACTATCTAAACTGTCAATTAATAAACTTTAATATTGTACTTACAGAACCAATTGTTATTGCAGTAGCTTGAGCTGCAATATTGGTACCTTTTCTTGTGTTTTTAAACCCTTCTACACCACAAGATCGTAACAATCTCACAACACCTTAACAAAAATATTAATTAATATCGGAGAAACTGAAAGTACTAATGTACCTACATGATATAAAGACAAACCTTTTGCGTCAGTTATTGTAATTATAGTGTTGTTTTTAGAAACTTTAATGTTGCAGATTGGAATCTGATTAAATGGTATATTTTTAAATAACTTGTTAGGTGTGTCTTCACTAGGAAACAGCTCCTCACGCCTAGAAAACAAAATTGTTCATACAAAATCTAAATAACATAATTATCAGCAAATAATTGTAAAAAAAATCTTGCTTGAGGCTAAGGGAATCAATGCCAAATTGTTTTTCTCCTTCAGTACCATCATCTATCTTTGGATTTATTCTTGCTGCCCTCCTTTCCTCTTTTAACTTACAATAAGTTTGGGATAAATGTATTGATCTAAATTTTTCTGCTATATTGAATGCAGGCCATTTAGTTTTAATTAAATTGGGGGACAATATATTTTTCAATTGATGGAACATAATGGCAAAGATGATTTTATTTATAAAATCTACACTACATTCAATAAAACTATTTACAATTGTAAAAATACTTAGCACTAAAGAAGAGATTATAGATATTCATTTGTTGTGAAGGGGAAGGTTATACATCCTCGCCTAAACAAAGAGGTAAGGATCTAAGAGATAATAATACTGAAAACTGCTTTTTATCATTATTTAACTAATACTTATAAATTAAAAAAACCAATGAGTCAAGAAAGAGAAGAAGATCAAGATTTACTTGCAACAGTGATATATTAAGCTTATCTGCCTAACATCTTACTATTGCAGACACCCGTATTGCCTACTAGGCACGGCAGGGAGTTAAATAAAAAAATAATACATATTAATTAAAAATTAACAAATCTATCATGAAAAACCTGTAGAAAAAAAGAAATAAAATTTAAAATGCAAGTCTAAAGGTGCATTTAGACATTTGGGGTAAACAAATATATATATATATAAATGATTATTTCACTTTGCCAATATTTTTATATATATTGTTTTTTATATATATCATCTGCTGTCGGTATCAAGATAAATTGAATTGGTTTAACAATGTTTTCACTGTTATTTAAGTTAGATAATTGTGTTTCCCATCGTTTGTGAAATGTTTAAAACCATTTTAACATTATTTCCTGCATTATTTACATTATTTTAACAAAAAACTAAACCTGCTATTTATTTCTTTGAAACTAACATAGTCTGTAGGTAATTTGACTGTAACTAAACCTACCTGCTGCGATTAAATTTAATTGTTGAATTTTCCCAGTCCGCTGGTGTTCCTCAAGGTAGTATCCTAAGTCCTATCCTCTATACAGTTTATACAGCTGAAATCCCTACCTATCACAAAACTGTCATCACCACATATGCCGATGACACATGTATCCTATCAGTAAATAATGACACATCAATCGCATCCCAAATGCTTCAATCACACATCATAAATCTTGAAGAATGGTGTCAAAACTGGAGAATTAAAATAAACTCCAATAAATCCCACCAAATTACCTTTACCCTTCGTCGTAAACCAATGACTTCCTGTCCTATAGTTTCCTTTAACAATACTCAGCTTATCTCTGTTGAGCAAATCCGCTGTCTAGGATTCCATCTGGACTAACGACTAGCTTGGAATCCTCATACTAGACTGAAACGATAAGAAACCGCTCTCCGTTTCCGATTACTTCAGCACTTACTAGACAAACGTTCTAAACTTCCAATTAATTACAAAATACTCATATACATAACTATAATAAGGCCTATTTGGACTCATAGAGTTGAGATATGGTGCTCCATTAAACCATTGAATTACTCTCGTATCCAATCTTTTGTTACAAATAAAACCATCCATAATGACCTTAACGTTTCTTATGTTTCAGATCTGGCCCAACCCAGATACCTATCCTTCCATAATAAACCTCAAAATCATCCCAACTCTCTCGTTTCTAGCCTTGCTTCCTCTTCAATTCCTCATAATCTTCCGAGGCGTGTGAAAAGCCCCGTAATCTCCTAATGTAGACATATCATTAGAGAGCTACCATTGGGTAGTTACTCAGCAAGTGTTTTGATGTCATTATATCTATAAGTTCAAACTTACTAGATGTATTTATTTAATACAGTTTTAAATATCATTAAGAAAAAATAAATAATTAAATTGTTGAATTTCAGATATCACGACATGAATTTCATTACTGTTTTATATTTTTTTTATTGAGGAGTGGGGTAGCTCAGTGGTAGGGTACTGAGCTTTCAAATGGTAGGTCCCAGGTTCGAATCCCGGCTCATGGCAGATTAATTATTTATTCTGTTCCATGAGCCGTGAGGCGACCCTGGATAGGTAGACTGGGGAGCACCCAGGCTCTATAAAGTGGGTACTCTTATTTATTAATAATTTATTAAGGGGAAAAACCTGACGATTGTGCGTGATCACGGTCAAATCACCTTCTTGCACAACTGTAGACCAAGAAACTGTGCTTTTCCTAAATAGTTCTGAAGCCAACCCTTCATGGGTTTGTAGTGGTACAGGTATTTTTTAAAAAAAATATTTACAACTCTACCAAACCTGATAGGCAATACGGGTATTAGCAGTAGTGAGATGTTACTCATTACGAATTACTTTTCATCAATTATCTTTATTAGTGCATACAGCTTGTTCGTATTTCGTAAGGTTTGGCCACCGCCTCCTTCTGCCCCGGCGATTTGAGTACGCCCACTTCTTCCCAAGGAGAAGAGATTTTGCTATAGTTTCCTGTGTTTATGGGTATACTGAATCTAAATCTGAAACAGTGACGGCCTTTGGCATTCGGCGCCCCCGGACAATTATGCCACCTCCCTCGCAGTAGAAGATAGCAATTCAGAAAGTGAAGATGAAACATTGCATAGTACTTAACTACAGAAAAGGAAAGCCCATTTAACAAGACGCTTACCACGAAAACTACTGGACGGATTTATTTGTGTTTTTTGCAAAATTGCCCATATTGGATTGTTTAAAGGCTTGAAGGTTTAAGCTATTAAAATCCTCGATAAGACCAATAGAATGATAGTAAAAAAAAATATATTTAAAATCATGTTTTGAGTATGGGTAGCCACGGTGGTTGAGCGAGTTAAGGCGCCTGCAAAAAATCTATATCAAGTGTTCAAATCCCGTTCGCGGGAATTAATAACACACACAACATTAATAGTAAATTAAAATAAATAATTGCAGGCCATACTCGATTACTTGGACCATTACGGCGCGGGTTCGATTCCCGCATGGAGACGGTAACTTGCCCACTCTGAGATTCATAGAGAGATGAGCGACCCTCTTACACGATAGCTTCTGGTCCTCCTGGTTGGGTGTTGGGTACAGGACTGATAATCTCCTATACCGTAAAAAAAAGTAGGGTAGAAGGTTGGCAAAAGCCAACCATCCTTCAAGAAAGTTGTTGATGAAGAGGGAGTGAAATGTGATCGCGTCCGGTTAGTAAACCATGTGCTCCCTGGATATGTCGAAGAAGAGACAATCTAACGATGCCAAATGGTGTATATAAAAGGTCCAAGCTACTGAAGAAGACTCATGACATGCAAAGTCGAAGTCAACAGGCATAGGGGAAAAAAACTGGAAAAAGATATGTAACTCGTATTAACTGCATTCTGCTTTTTATTTGTTTAAGTTCAATTTCAATCGGGGAAAAAAAAATCTTTTTTCTCCTTAAGTCAATTATCAAATTCTTTCATGAATTATGAATAGTATTTTTTTATTACTAATAATAATGAAAGACTATTAACTATTTAAAATAAAGCAAATTAAAGGTACTTTAGAGGAAGAAATTTGGTAAAATCGGCATTTAAGTTCTTTATCGATAAAGTTAAAACTATCTTAAATTAAAATACATTAAGTTGAATTTATGTACAAAAAAAGGAAAATACCAGGAATTATTGTGGTCTCCATTAGTACTGCCAAACCGTACTGCGACCTATACAGATAAAAAAATCTCCCAACTATGGTGTATATGCATACATATATAGCCTTTTTTTTTTTTTTTCTTGCCTTAAGACTTGTCAAAGCAAAGTAATATATTACTATATTATTTGAGTTGTTGCTTGTTAGTTAAAATTGAACCCGAAACGCCAATATTTTGTGTGAAACTTGAATTGTGAAAAATATAAATACACAAACTATATAAATTGATAGGTAGATAGAAAGTAATTTTAATCTGGGACAATATCCCTTGAAAATAACAGCAGTTATAGAAATAAAATGTATTTCTGACACAAACACTAAAAAATAATGAAAAGAAAAAAATATGCCTAACTAAAATACTTACATCAACGGTACAGAAAAATAAAGTTTCCTCTAATAGGTTCACAAAATCTCTTATTAAAAAAAAAATTAAGAAAGCGAAATAAATGAAATTGCTTCTGTAATAAAAAAGTGTGTTTCTGCGTTTATATAAAATGGCACTTCCGGTTAGCCGATTTTAACGAAAAAGTTGCTGTCACATCCGGCCCATATACAAACCTTAAATACGTAATATCAGTTTCGTACTACTTTTCGTTTATGAGCTAGACTGTTAACACACAGACCATTTTGCTACACTTGGTTATTTGAACTTAGGGGACCTCAAAACATGTATTTCCGTTGAAAACTGAGATTCGAAAATTTTCACGATCGCAATACTTACCCTTACTATATATTACATATATACGTAAGTGAAAGTAAAAATATTTGAGTAAATTTACACAATTATACAACAAAGAAAAAGAAAAATATTGGGTAAAAATAAAGAAAATGTATTTATATACTCTAAGGCAAGTACTTATAATTAAACTTAAATAATCTATGTAGCCTGTGTTTCGATTTTCTATAACGAATAATTTACATATTATAACTGGTAAATGATTTATTATTTATATGAACTTCTTCACAATCTTTTTTAAACAAAATCATAATGCTAATATGTGAATGGAATATCACTTGCTTGTTAAATTTTGTTTATTTGTAATTATCTAATAAAATTTAAACAAATGAAAATCGGAGAAGAACGTATGGGTTATTTTTATTACTTTTCTGTGAGCAATCCAATCAGTGAATTTACTACGTCGTTCTCGACTCGTCCCGTATATTTATGCTTTAGTTTGGTGGCTTTATGAAAGGAATTCCAAAATAATGGTCTCGAGGAAGGTTTGGACAATAACCTCTAAAACAAAGAGAAACAAAAGGTGAAGAACTAGAGGCAGAAGAGAAGGTTGGATATTGCTGTTGGATAAATGATGTTTGATCTAGCCGCCAGTTCCTATCTCAGGCCAATATTGACTTCTCAAGATAACCTTCCTTCACACAATACACCAAGTTCTGGCCACTCTTTCTCTCTCTCTGGCCTGTATTTCAGAAATGGCAAAGATAAACCAAGACATTTTTTTTTATTTTAAACTAGTAAAGGATAGTTTTATTTAATTATTTTATTCTATATAGATGAAGAGTACCTACCCTTTTAGGACGTTTAGAATTCTTCTTAGCGGTATATTGTAACATGGTAACCCATGGTTACTGTCATTTGATTTTGAATAGTCACTTGTCTTTCGTTTTCGCATATCGTGCTTGTTTTGTAATGCCGTAATGTGATTGAGAATACCTGAGATAATCACTTAAAAAGTCCAAGG